TAACAGTTTTGTCCAGAATAATCAGATAAGATCTTGGAAAGATAAATCCCAAGGACAAGATGAAAATGACAAGAACTGCACACTCTCCTGTACTGCAGCTGAACTGCAGCTTGCATCTCTCCCGCAGATGTGACAAAAATATGAGCAAGAAAATAGTGGAAAAAGCCTGAAAATGTCAAGAAAGGCAAATCACAAAGAATTATCTTTTCTCACAATTTATCTTCAGGAAATACATAAATAAAAACAAACACAGAAACCTTATCATTTCTAATGGGCATTTCTTTTGGTTAGAGTGCCACTGCAGTAAACAAAAGCAAAAATACTTTAAAATTTACTCAGAACACCTAATGGCTTTGGTTTTCTGTTAAGATGGTGAATCAGCACTGATCACAGGAGATGGACGTGTGAATCTGATAACAAAGGAACAATTAATCAAAATCTGAAAGCTGAGAGCTGTTTAGAACTGGTCTGGCCCTGGTGTCTGGGGACTGGGAGGTTGGAAGGGGAAGTTGCTGGGGGCTCTGTGAGAGGCCAGACTGGAGAACAGTATTCAAATTTTCTTTCAACCTCAACTCTGCTCTCCAGGGCAGTCTCTGCATGGTCCTCCTTTGCTAAGGGCGCTAAGTCCAGGCCTAGGATTCAGGGTGCTGTATTTTGTGGGCAGCACGTACTGCTCAAGTAAAGAGCTAGTGAGGTACATGGGGTCCCCGTCACATTGGACTTCTCTCCCTTACCTTGGTCACCCTCAAAACTGAGGCTTGGAGATTTAAAAGAGGTGTGCTTGCTTCCACTCTGGGCTTTTCTTCTGAAATCTAGTGGGTGAAATTTTGCCAGGGAAATCACCCAGCACAGTGGCAGTGAAGAGTAGTGGCCCAGGGTTGTACTATAGAACCTTGAGCTCTGTCCTTAGACTCACCTACAAGTACTAGTTTTTCCCAGACACTACATCTGCTGGAATATGCAATATCAGTAAAAAACTTAACCTCAAAGGACAAGAATACATGAAAAATAGAGCTACCTCCAAAGAAAGGCAGTAAAAATAGGAATCATGCTACAAAAATGGATGAACTAGGATTCAAGATAAGAATGAATAATACACATGAGGAAATAATGGAAGACAGTCACAAAATGAAATATGAAAAGAAATCAATAAAAACAGTAAAGAGGATACATAGTAAGAAATTAACAGATGTAAATAAAGATGTATATAGTTCTTAAGTTCAAGTACATCAGCATACAAGTTATATAAACAACATTAAATAAATAACTGAAATACAGAAAACAACAGCTGAAACAGATCACAGGAAAGACTTAGTGTCAAGACATCATGATTTGGAAGATCAAAGCACTATCTCAGAAAATAGAAATGCTTCCAGAGAGCAGATGAACACACACACACACACACACACACACACACACACACATATATGAATATATGAAAGGCAAAATAATAAGGAAATATGAACAAAAAGTTCAGAATCTGAACAACAAAAGGAAGAAACAAACAATAAGCAAAACTATTTCAAAAATGAATGAAAACAAGTCTTCCAAAATTAAAGAGGAAAGACTTCTGGCACAAATTAAAAGCACTCAAATAAGCAAAGAAACAAATACAGAAGAATACTGTGAGTAGATAAAGGAAGTAAGGGTGATAAATTCCTTGATAAACTTGGTCTGCTTTTGAAGGAGAAAAAAAAAAAAAGACACAAACAATCAAAAGAAAAATAAAGCAGGGGGATGATTATTTCAACCAAAACTTGAAATTTCTATGGTAAATGGGAAGAGGGAAGTAGTATAAAAACCAAAGGAGCCTTGAAGGGACAGAATTCCCTTGAGGGGAAACAGTAGAAATTTTGAAAAATTTAAGATAACAGCATAAGGAAATAAACATGAGTATGTCTTAAACTACATGTTTCATGTCTTGAGAAAGTGTGAGGGCTCCACCTTACAGGAGGAGAGGTTTATCTAAGCTCACTGTTTGTAGAGGTTTCAGCCCATAGTCATCTGGCTCCGAGGCAGGATGCCTTGGCAGAGGGGATCAGAGAGGAGGAGCTCACGGCATGGCAGGCAGGAAGCAGCCAGCCACCCAGGCAGAGGGGGTATAAATATACACACACTTCTCCAAGCCATGCCCACAGTGACCCACCCCTTCCAGCTAGGCTTCACCACCCAGCCATAAACCCCCCGTGGATCACACACCCATGATCCATTCACCTCCCAAAGGCACCCCTCTGAGCACATGAGGCTTTGGAGGACATCTAGATATGAACCATAGCACTATGTAAATGGATGAGATGGAGAAAACAAATCTTGACAATTTACTTGCTCCTTCTTGAGCAAGGACATCCATCTTCTGCCCTCTAAAATCTGAGCTCCTCGCCCTTGGGCCTTGAGAACAAGACTGAGTGGTACCACTGCTTTTCCTGGTTGTCTAGCTTACAGATGGCAGTTCCTGGGCCTTCTTACAAGGAAGAAAATAAATATTCACAAGCAAGTTATCTAATCTTGAAAATAAAAGGTGGACATGCGTTGTCTCTCCTGCCAGGTATTAAGACACACTTACACTGCCAAGGTAATAAAAACAATTGGACCAATAGGACAGAATGGGGAGATCAGAGGCAGTTCCATATACAAGCAGGAACTTACACAGATGATTTTCCATGATGTTGGGAGAACTGGTTGACTATATATTAGAAGACAAGGGATCAATCATGAACTCTTTTTTAATTAAATATTTATATACTAATTAAATCCCCAATACACAAGTCATGAAGAAAAATGTGATTTTATTGATCAACTGAAAATCTTTTTAATCAACAAAAGGGCACTGTGGATAAAGTTGACGGATACAGGAAAAGTCAAGATATTTGCGAGGGTAGTGTATAGCATTCCATCTGTTACCCTGGCAAAATTAGGACTGGCAAGACCAGGTGTTGGAAAATGGTGGGAATATGAAAGCTCTAAAAAGTGGTATAGACTGATGGAGGTATTCTGGGAGGCAAGCTGCATTTTTCAGCTGACATATGGGCCTATGATTGCACTGCCGGCTTTACACTCTCCAGAAAATCTCACATAGCTTCATAAAAGGTCACACACAGTGGTTTTTACTTGGAAGGCACCGTTTGGTTTGACCAAGAAACGGAGCAATAAGTGTGTTCTTACTAAAGAAGTGGATAGGTAAATGATAATGGAAAACTCATAAAGAATACAATAAATCAATGAAAAGATAACAAGAAGATACACAAAGAGCAAAGTAATGCCAGATACAGTAGTGCATGGCTGTAATCCCAGCTATTTGAGAGGCTGAAGCAGGAAAACAGTAGCCAGCCTGCAGAATTTAGCGATAGACTCTGTCTCAAAACAAAACATTAAAATGGCTGAAGATATAGAGCACTCCTGGGTTTGATCCCCGATACTACAAAAACAAATAGCAATGTAGATGGTCTTTTTAAATAATATGTAGTGCTGCATATAAAAATGTTGCAAAAGGGAAAATCTCTAATATAGTAAATCTACACAAATTACAAATACACACAAAAGAAAATGTGTGTCCTAACAAGAGTGCATAGAATAAACCATTATAATGATGGGTTTTTAAAGTGAGAAGAATTGGGTGGAGATGGCAGATAAAATAATAAGTGGGTTAAGTAGGATGGGTTAAAAATAGACAAAAAGGCCTTCCACAATAGCAGGGATTTTAGTCCGTGCTCAAAGATTTGTTGACTATATGACTATTTTGACATGACTTGAGAATACCGTACCTCATCTCTCTGTAATTGAGTTCGAACTATTAGATTGAACCTATGAAGTCACAATGTTTTATAGGAAAACAATGCAACTATCAGTAATTCTATGTAACTTAACCTTAAAAAGAAGGAAAAATGGAAATAATTCATGGTACTTGGGGAAATATAGATAGCTATTATAAGGAATTGCAGGAGAAAACATGAAAGAAACCAAATCAGATTTCATTTTTTCAAGATTATTTGAAAACCATAAATATTGTCCTTAAGATAGGATGATTGATTTTTAAGACAAAGGAAGCAATTTAAGAACATAAATCATCAATACCATCCCTAAATGCAAAGGATGGTAATATTGATTATGCCCAAAATAATTACTGTCCTCTGCACCTCAAATGTCAGCTACCTATTTTATTAGTCTATATACAGTACAACTACATAAGTTGTCATGCTGAAGGGTCATTAAATAACAACAATGAAATGACCTATTTACACTTTTTGTCACTGTAATACTTTACAAAACTAAAAAGGTAATTCGTGTAGGGTAAATTCTGGGAAAGAAATTCAATTAATTCACTTTGGAATATTCTAGAACTATGAGGCATTCATGTATGTTTTTCAGCTTCTTCCATGTCACATTTATGCTGAAAAATTATTTCTGTAAAATCAAATATTCCTTGCCAAATACATCTTCACAAGACCTAATTTTAAACTTAGCCCGCTATATCTTTCCTAACTAAACTTCTGGGGGATTGTTATTAAATCCTTTCATGAAAACATCATCACTGCCCTCTGTACCACTGCTTGTCAAGCCAGGCACACTTGAGAACCTTGTCTTTCACTCAACAAATATTCCACGTGGACTGACCTATGAAGTGTGTACTCTCTTCTCTAAGGATGAAGCAAAAAACATAACAGCAAAATTATATTTTCATTCGTGGTACTGACTACACTTCTTGAGAAAGTGGAAAGTCAAGAGTACAGCCAAGAACTAGCTTTGTATGGGTCACGGAATGGAACTAAAATGATGAGTTGAGGGGAACAAAAGATGTAGCCTTCGTGATCCCTCGTGAATTGAGCTATTTCCAGTTCATTTTTGAACTTGTACCTATTAAATAAATATCTCTGCTTGCCACAATAAAAAGATGCAATCTCTGTTCAAAGGAATTTGATATCCATAAAGGTCAGCGAATGGCAGCCCAACTCGCTTTACTTATTGGATTTTGTGTGAAATAACAGCTTGAACGGAACCTTTACCTTGACAGTAAAGCGTTTTTTCTTTGGTGGAATCCACACTGTGCCCGTTGAATGAATGAAGGCACGTAAAGGGGTTAAGGATGTCACCAACACATACGCTTTTAGAATCACAGATAGATCCTCAGCTCCGAAGATTATCTTCTGAGGAACGAGAACTGTTGTTTGATTCCTGAAAAAATAAAACAACACAGGTAAGACCCCATAATTTAAGGTTGAATGTGTAATGTGTAAATTACCTAACAGTTTTTAAAGTCCCTTTTATCCTTTGCTGAACCCCAGCCTTCAATGTGATTCCTTAAACAATTTCAGCTGCATATTGCATCGCCACCAGGGGGCAGGCAGGTACAGAGAAAGGAAAGAAACGTGTTTTTTTTTTTTTTTTTTTTTTCTCCACTCTGATCTAAAGATTTCTTTTTGGTACGGAGGATCGAACTCGCGTCCTTGCACTTGCGAGGTAGGCGGCAGAACCACTGAGCTAAAGCCCCGGCCAGTATTTCTTACTTGTACAAATTGTGTGTACAAATTGTAAATTTGTGTTACAACTGTGTACAAATCGTAAAATTGATAATGTGAAATAGGAAGAAAAGGGCTAAAGACGTAAGGGAAGTGGGAAAGGTAGGGAAAAGGAAATAAGGGACAAGAAAAAATATGAGAAAATAAAAAATGGAAACAAAATGTTTGTAAATAGGGGAGGGTGGAGGGAGTGAAGGGAGGGCAGAGGTATGGGGAAAAAATGAGAACCAAGACCTGTCATGTAAAGGCACAAGATCCCAATGATGAATGTAACTGTACTGTATACCTAAAATGTACCAATAAATTCAATGAGATTAAAAAAAAAATTTCTCAAAAGATAGGAAAAAAAGAAATAAAACTGAAAAGGAAAACAGAACTTAGAGTAAGGTTGAAAGATTTTAAAAATTAAATTAATCACACTATGTCATGACTTCAGATTCATGGTACTGTCACTGTGATATAAATTACAATTTGGGAGCAGTGAAACACTGCTTTTCCTCTTCTCCCCTGCTTACTGTTGCTTTATCTTTTCCTCTGTGAAAAGACATTAACTTTCAATAATAAGTAGTCCACAAAAATATGCCAAAATAAATTCCCCACTACTTCAAGGTTACCTAAAAACCTCTCACCCCTGATAATTAAATGTCAATTTCCAGGATGAAATATTTAAAAAGCAATTCAGTCCTCAAAGGACAAGTAACACTAGTGTGCTGTTTTGTAATGAAATAAATACATAGTCATCGTAAATGATACTAAAATGTATAACTATTTTTTTCACCATTCTTGTGTATATTAAATACCTAAATTTGATGAATAAAAAAATACATTATTTTAGATTTTGAAGTCTACGTAAGCATAAGATGCATATGATTTTTTCAATAAATATTATTAACTGCTGTCATAGTACTTAGTAACTACAAAATAGGATAAAGCAGACTCATTTATGTATTAGATAAGATAATTAAAATCTCTAAATATTCCCTTATAATTTATCTTCATACTAAAATCCTTTCCCTGGTGATGTCTTGAACAACTTGATAGCTGGAAGAATCCTTCCTAGATCCTGGGAGCTATAAAAAAAATCTAATAGCTAGAAAAACATGCATTCAGATATACTCATAATTAAGGCAATGCCATTTGAGTAGAAAGCAGAAGTTAAAATTTTATAGCTTTACATTGTCAAGGTTTTAAATTCAATATATATTAATGTACCTTACTAGATAAGAGTCCAATTTATCCAAATGTTTATTCAGTGGCAGTAGAAATTTTCATTAATGTAGAAGGGACTAGAGATTAATAAATGATAACTGAAAATTTATACAACTGAATCTAACAATTCCAAATGTAACACCACCACCACCACCACCACCAGATCTGCTGTATACTTTTTTCTTGCTAGCTGTCTCCTAAAAACCATGCTGCATAGAACAATTCAAAATGATTAGCTTACAGCTGTTCACGTTGCCAGTCCCATGGTTTCCACGTGTGTTGTTTCACTGTTTTTAAAAGGTGACTTGAAGTACTCAGCTGGAATTGTACTCCCTGATCCAAACACACAGAAGGACTCACAGGAAGTCGCAATTCTGAAAAGATTCAGAAGAGCAGAAGACAGTCATTCTGTTGATTCCTTTTGGAAGTGCTTCCAAAATAGACGATGCATTGTTACACTGCGGAGTCCAAGGGAAATATGCAACCATTTTCTCTCCGTTCTGACTCCTAATTGGATCTATTAAGTATGAGGGTACATTCAGCGGGGCCTTTGTTTTGTGATATCTTCCTCTTCCCTTACTGCAGACCAGGAGAACAATTCCAATAACTGATTTCCTATTTGCTTGTACAGAAGAGGAGGTAGGTTTGAGGTCTCTATCCCATCCCCAGCTGATATATATCTAGTGTACAGCTCGGTGATGTACTCAAGATGAAGGTAACCTTAGGAGCTGAATTTTGTATGTGATGCTAATATTCCATTGAATATTTGAGTTGACTTTTTGGCAATATATACTAAAGTTTATTATACTTCATGATCTCGGAAACCTAACAATCATCCTCATTTATTTTGTGTGATATTAACTACTGTGTTTTAAGTATATAAAATAAAGAATAATAATGACTTACTTCGGAACACCCATATTGATATGTTTAAAATAGAAGTATTGCATATACTTGGTGAGTGAAATAACAATTTTACAGAAAGCTGTCAAATAGAAAGAAAACTAATCTCTAATCCACCTTTATCTAGGACCACTCCCTACCATAAACTAATGAAGTAAACTTGAAATTTGGTTGAGCACAATGTATGTATTTGCTTGTTCAATATATAAATTGATATAATTGACATAAGCTAATCTATATAAACCTCTATGTGCAGGGATTTTTTTTTTCTGCTTTTTAAATTACCAAAAGAGAATTCATCATGGCCTATACCTGGCCTGTTTCCCTATTAATCCATTGAGGATTCTTTCTATATCAAGATGTATAAAGTGACACTAAACATACTTCTCAGGCACTTGCACTTGCGAGGTAGGCGGTGGAACCACTGAGCCAAACTCCCAGCCCCTAGTTTTGTTTTGTTTTGTTTTGTTTTGTTTCAGCTTTAATTGAGTTTATTGGTACATTTTAGGGATACAGTAGTTACATTCATTGTTGGGATCTTGTACCTCTACATGACAAGTCTTGATTCTCATTTTTTCCCCTTACCTCTGCCCTCCCTTCACCCCTCCTCCCCTCCCCATCTACAAACACTTTATTTTCATCTTTTCATTCTCTCACATTTTTTTCTTTTCCCTTTTTACTCTTCCCCTACCCATCCCACCTTCTCTACACCTTTAGCTCCTTTCTTCCCATTTCTAAATGTCAGTAATCTTATTAGAATCTTATGCATTGTTGCAGATTATTCACACCAGGGAAACTATTCGGTATTTTTCTTTATGGCTGAGTAATATTCCATTTTATAGAAAAACCACATCTTCTTTATCCAGTTTCCAATGGAAGGGCAAATGGGCTGTTTCCAAGATTTAGCTATTACAATCCCCGGTAACAAAAAAAACTATATTAAACAGGGTTTAAAAAAAATTACAACATAAAGGTGTAGGGAAGGTGGGATGGGTAGGGGAAGGGTAATAAGGGAAAAAAAATGTGAGAGAATGAAAAGATGAAAATAAAGTGTTTGTAGATGGGGAGGGGAGGAGGGGGTGGAAGGTGGGATGGGTAGGGGAAGAGTGACAGGGGAAAAAAAAAAAATGTGAGAGAATGAAAAGATGAAAATAAAGTGTTTGTAGATGGGGAGGGGAGGAGGGGGAGAAGGGAGGGCAGAGGAAAGGGGAAAAAATGAGAATCAAGACTTGTCATGTAGAGGTACAAGATCCCAACAATGAATGTAACTGTACTGTATCCCTAAAATGTACCAATAAACTCAATTAAAGCTGAAAAAAAATTTTTAAAAAAAACATACTTCTCAATGGCTAGTGTGTTTCCTTAAATTAACATACATTTAATTTAGCAATTCTCCTCTTGTTGTATATTTAGATTGTTTTTTAGCATTTTTCTTGTGATATTCCAAAAACTCTGCAGTGAATATTCTCATACATCTACCTGGATGTACTTTCTTTCACAAGTTTATCTGAAGGCAGCTGCTTCTTAGTATGTGTAATTGCCAGGGCCACGGGTAAATGTACTATAAATTTGTGAGACATTACCAAACTGTGTTCCAAGAATGTTGCCTGATTTTTACTTCCTCCAAGAGTATGTGGGAGTTGTTCCTTCTTTACTCTCAGGCCACAGTACCTTATTTTTAAGTTAAGTAATTTGTCCAGCTCTCAAAATGGAACAAAGCCTTTAAATTATTTTCCCCCCTTGTGCACATTTCATCAATACCAACATAGTCTAATTTAAAATGCTTCACACTCTTAAGCAAAAGTCAGCAGAAGTCAAGCTGTTCAATGTATTCCTATATCTCATTATTTAACACAGCATGATCTTCCTCAAAAACAATAACTTAATTGTAAGACTTTCCTATTAATGAAGTTCTAATACATCATAATAAAGGAAACATTCAGACCGCCTTGTTTTTTAGAGGTGATAAATGAAAAACCATTAGATGATTTATTTTCTTAGGAATCACAACTTTTTTAAATAACTTGAAATGTTCATGAAATACTTTAAATTTCCTGGTGGAAAAAAGGTTCCTAAGATCTCACTAAATAGTCTTATTTCTTTAGAAATTATGACTAAGAAAAATAGTGTTTCTCTAGCAGAGAAACCAATTGTACTTGTAGCCTTCTTTGCTATAAAGGAGAATGATAAAAGATTGTCTGGTTTCCCTTTTGCCTCGTTACCCAGAAGCAGAATATCAAATTAGAAGCCCAAGCACAGCTGACTTCAAAGAAGCTCAATGTCTTTAAGGAACCGGTCAAAAATAGATCAAAACAACAAACAAGTTTGTGTCACTGTTTGTTTAGTTCAAGTGGAGGAGCCTACAACATAAAGTTGAAGTCCAAAGCAGGGATTCCCAAGAATTGCCAAGAATATGTCAGATTTTCACATCAATCTCTCAAACTGTGATTAAACAATAGAATATGGATCAAAGTGATTTAACCTTATTTGTTTACTCATATTTATATCTATAAATTCTAGATTGCCCTTATCATTGTTTAAGTCTTAGTGGTGCTTACTTTTTATAACTTTAAAAAAATCTCCATTAACTATTTCTTGACATCTAATGCTATTCCCATTTCACTTGATCATGACCAAGAAATTAGAAATAATTTCCATTAATATCTATCAAAGCTGCAACTGCATTTTATGACATGTTTGTGAATAGTTGTGGAGAACATTAAGTGTCCTACATCAATACTTAACAGAATCAGAGACATGTCTGCAGGTATTCTGTTTTCTGTGTTTCCTGGATGTGTCCACCAAGTGCTCTCAATAGTCCAGGGCAAGTCACTTCTTTTTCTATCTCATTCCCTTCTTTTTGCTTTTCTTTTTTTTTTAAGAAAAATTTATTGAGAGAAAGATAGCTTCTGTCTAAGACAGACAAAAGGGGGCCAGAAATGGGTTGCCCAGGAGACCCTGTTTCCCAGGGGCTTTCACAGAACAAAGCCACGAGGTGAGGCAAGTTCCTATTTCCCCTTTTTGACCCTTCAATACATTTAAAGAGCCTAGAAAGCTCCTACAAACAGCTAAAACTAGCTTCTGTTTCTGTAGGGAATTTAGGAGATGAGGCTATATGACAGTCTTCCAAATAGCCTTCTAATTTATTAACATAAACTTGTTAAAATTTTTAGGCAGTAATTAAATATGAAAGGCCTTGTATGTACCTCTAGGGCTTTCCTGCCCCACAGTATGAAGCCTGAATGTATAATAGATTCAGATGTAAAATACCACACGGTGAATAGATCCATACTCTTATTTATTGGCTACTCTTATCTTATTTCAGGGAGCACTGAAGCCTGAAACTTTACTGATCCCCTAAAGCGAATGTGAGCAATTTGTTAGGGATGCATGAAGAACTGCTTTTCTCATGCCTTTTAACACGTGGCTGGCTACATTCTGAGCGCCTGCTGACTGAGGTACAGTTATGTGCAAAGGGAGATTGAACCAGAGCTGAGAGACCTGAATTTTCATTTTGGTTCTTGCCAGTCTATACTTAATGGACTTGTGACATTGTTAAGGTGCCTCCTGGAATCCAGACTGTGATTCCCATGCAGCTTCTGACTTTCTACAGCCCTGAACCCAATGATGGTACATGACAGGAACTCTGTAAATGTTTGTTCTAGTTTTAGGGTAATGAAGCTCCCCTGTGGTTAGAGATCAAAATGTTACTTTAGTGAATTAAAAATGTTTTCTTTGGTGACTTATTTTTTCTATGTAACATATAATTGTATATACCACAAAGAATGAAATATGGAAAACATTTGTACTAGCAAGGATTACCTGCCAAATTTATACTGTATTTGATTTAATGTGTTGCCCCATAGCTAATAATTAATATGAAAGTAACAAGTATAATTATATTTCACAAATGTTTGAATGTTGTCTTACATTCCATATTAGAAACTAACCTTATCTGGTGTTTTCATATTCTGGAGTTTCTAGTGAAGATAAGAAACCTGAATAACTAAAAATTAGTTTTGAGATTTGAAGTATAAATAAATACTGTTTTTAAGTATGTTAACTGTCATTTCTGCCGCAGAGCATTTACAAGACTTAGTATTTAGCCTGCAGGTATAAAAGCTATGCAAATATAACCTCACAATCCATGTTCCTAGAAAATACACCTTTGTTTATGCACAATCTGAAGTCAGAGCCAGGAAAAACACTATTTTTGCTATGAGAGAAATCCTCAAGCAATAAGTATAGTGATAGGTAGAGGAACACAGCTAGTTCCACACTACAGTCCAGCAGTAAAGGATGCAGAGAATAAATAACCCAAATTATCTCCTCCCAAGTTTGATCTCTTTCTAGAGTCACTGGAAAGGAAAGCATGTTGATGCTTTGTGTGGAGATCAGCTTCCTAGAGGCGGGGTCTAAAGTGAGTTCAGAGGAGGGAGGGTGGGCAGCAAACATTACTTTTGGAAAAACA